GTTTTCTCTCTTGAAACAGAACAATGTGTTAAATTGTAGAGACTCACCTGCAACACATGAAGAGTTGTATCAGCTGCAGCTCCTTCCTCCTCCTCGTGACTCCCACATGTTTACGTTTTATCTCCGTTGTTCTCTCGTGTCGAAGATTTTCAAAGCGTCATGCTTCTTGTTTTTTATCTTTGTGAAGTTCTCCCACTCTTTGGAGGACTTGGGTTGAACAGTTTTCACTGCGTTGGTCATTTGTAAAATTTCCTTAATTTCCTTTGAAAACAACCTCTGCTTTGTTTCCCCCTCGCTCTGTTCAACTCGCGCTGCAGTTTTTTTTTTCAAACTTTATTCAGTCAGTCAGCATTGACAATGAACTGCCCGTGAACAAAAGGAAACGGCTCCGCAGCGCCGTGAAAGATGCATAATCGCGCGACACAACGAATCGATAATGAAATTCGTTGCCAACGCTTTTAATCATCGATTTTTATCGATTTTATCGATTCGTTGTTGCAGCCCTACAAATGTCCTCTATCAGAGACTGAGACCTCACAGTCCAAGAAAGCCAACTTGCCTTTTTTTTTTCATCTTCTCGTGTGAACTTGATGTATTTATCCACAGAGTTGAGGTGAGTCACAGAGTCATTACCTGCAGTGTTCCCTCCGTGAGGACTGAACTAGACAAAAGGACCTTCTCCTACTCCGCTCCTGTTTCCTGGAATATCTTACAAAAAGACCTGAAGCTCTCGACCTTTGACCTCTCTAAGTGGCTTTAAGAATCTGTTGGACTCCTGGCAGGGACCAATGCAGACATGTTCCTGTTTTTAGTTTTATACATTTGTCTTAGAATCTAGCTGTTTTTTTGTTACCTTTTCCTTTTAGCCATCCTATTTGTAAAAAAAAAAAAAAAAAAACCACCACCTGTATTATGACTTTATAATTGTTTATTGTTGTCCATTGTTGTCATCTTTCTTTGTTAAAATCAGGTCTCTCTTGTAAATGAGTCCTCGAGGCTCAATGGGATTTACCTGTAGAAATAAAGGTTGAATGATGTGGTCAGTAAAATGTTGGACTTCCCGAGATTTGATTTTAACCCAGGTGTCGTCAACATACCTGAACCAATGACTTGGTGGTGTCCCTGAAAAGGACGTCAAGGCTCTCTTTTCTACCTCCTCCATGTACAGGTTGGCAACAATAGGAGAAGCTGGAGACCCCATAGCACACCCATGTTTCTGCCTATAATATTGCTCCCCATATGTGAAGTAGGTTGACTGCAGGCACAGTTTCAAGAGTTGACACAGTTGTTCTGTGGAAAGCGTGGTCCTGCTGCTCAGAGTGGTGTCTGATTTTAATCTTAAACTGACCACCTCTACTGCATCATCAACAGGAATGCACGTAAAGAGTGATGTGACATCAAAAGAGACCATTGTTTCATCAGTCTCCATGATGACATCCCTCACCTTGTCCACAAAGTCCATGGTGTTCTGTATGTGGTGTTCTGAGCTGCCAACTAAAGGGATGAGTACAGACACCAGATATTTGGAAACATTGTAAGTCACAGAGTTAATCTTGCTAACAATTGGTCTTAAAGGTACACCTTGTTTGTGGATTTTAGGTAAACCATACAGACTAGGTGTGGCCTCCCCTGGGTACAGTCTGTGGTACAGAAAACGGTCAATAACCTTGTCCTGTTCCAAAATTTTCAGGCAATCTATTAACTTCTTCTTGTAACCACTTCCTGGATCTCTTTTCAGAGGTTCATAAGTGTTTAAGTCACTAAGGAGTGTTATAACTTTCTCATGATAGTCTTTCTGGTTCAAAATCACTGTGCACCTTCCTTTGTCTGCTGGGAGAATGATGATGTTTTTGTCCTTGCTAAGAGTGGTGAGTGCATCCCTCTCCTCTCTACTGATGTTGGAAGGTGGTGGTTTGGCATTGCTGAGGCAGGATGAAACTTTGATTCTGAGCTGTTCTGCTTCAGCCTCTTTAATTTTGTTGTTGCGGATGGCTGACTCAGTAGCTGTGATCATCTCCACCAGAGGAATTCTTCTTGGTGCAACCGCAAAGTTCAGTCCCCTGGCAAGAATCTCTGTCTCCGGCTGGGTGAGCTGTCTGTCAGATAAATTCTTCACCCACTTTTCTGTCTCCCTGGCATGTAATTGACTACTGGAGTGTTGTCCTACACTGAATGTGTTGTTATTGGAATAGTGATGGTGTTGATGAGTTATTAGTAAGTTAAACTTATTTTGTTGTCGAGTCTTGGACTTGACATGCTGTGCTAAGCGTGCCTGATCTGTACAGTCCAACACTTGCTGAAGTGTGGTCTGATCTAGACACGTTGTTAGTTTCTGTTTAATGTGCTCTTCTTTGGCCTTCAAGGCCTCAATAGTAAAATTGGTCTGTCTCACCCGTTCATTCAGCAGCTGGGTCTGTGCCTTCTGAAGGATCTTGCTTGCCCAGTGCCCGCTGACCGAAGATTTTAGTTCCAGGCTCTTGGGAATGATGCCACTTTGTCGACATCTGAGGTTGAATCGCAAATGGTTCCTGTAGTCTGCCCTCTTCCTTGCTGTTTTCTCAAACTCTCTAACTAGTTTGAGGCAATCCTGGCCAAAGTGGTTCAAAATATCCTGATGCATGCTCAATAATCCAGGTAGAAAATTCTAAAAAAGTTAAATCTGGTCCTCTGGACATTCAAAAACAAACAAAACAAACAAATCAACAAAAAAATGTAGAAACGTTTCGTCTCTCATCCAAGAGACTTCCTCAGTCTGAGGAGCTGTATTCAGCTCAGTCTCTTAAATAGCACCTTCTCAGAGTGGATCAACCAGTTTTGCTGCTGACAACCAGAACCAGCTGATCACATGCTCAAGAAGGACCATCAGCCTAACAATGGATCATTAGCACCTGATGGCTGTTTACTACTCACAGAGGGCTGAGTGATCCTGATGCATGCTCAGAGCAGCTTCACAGACGAGGGCGTTTACCTTCGGGACAAATTGAGGTCGCCGATTGGTCATTTGCTGACACGCCTACTGTATTGATTGACAGGTCGGAAAAAAGAAAAAAAGCGAGCGCTGGCAGCCTCACGCATCGTTGTTCTGTGTTTATATGTTGTTAATAAAAAGATCTAAAAAAAAAAATAATAAAACAGAGAGCGCTGGCTCTACAGCCCACACATCAGACCAGCCCACCAGGAAATCTCCAGACCCTCCCGCAGCCACGCTGGACCTGAGTTTAATTTGCTCATGACAAATTCCTCCATTTCTCAACATTTCAGTCATGGCATCAACGGAGGAGGAAGAGATCACTACCTCTTGGCAAAAAAAACAAATAAAAGGCCAGATCAGGGATGAAGAAGGGGAATTTAATACATTGGTGTCGCATACAAAACAGTTTGTCGCTGAGCAGTTTATTGTATATACCGCGTACGCGTATGCGGTCATAAAGCTTTAAGCTTTGCACGGACATGCCCTGCATACCTCTGCGTATGGACGTACGCGGCAGTAGTACGTCCATATACTGGGGGCTTTAGTTCCACAGTCTATGGACCAAAAACGGAGTCAGGTGATCAGAGACAGAGCATCAGAGAAATGAATCATTCCTGCAGGAACAGAGGAAGCTGAAGCACCACAAGCTTCATGGTCAGATGATCACCTTGTTACAAGTTCTGGAAGTTACAGCTCATTCAAAGAAACATATATTTTTTGTATGCTACATTTATGATCAACAGATCTTAAGATTCATTTTATTCAGTTATTTTGGGAAACTTCACCTGCACTTTAATTTTTGTGGTGGATTTATTGATCTATATTTTGTGCAGACTTTTTTGATCTAAATAACCGAAGGATCATTTTTATTTATTTTTATATTTTGAGACTGAATACTTTATTAAAGTAATTTCAGTAAAATTAACCCTTGTTTTATTAAGTTTTTATATAATACTGCAAAGCAAGATGTTAAGTTAATTTTGTTAAATGAATAACTGATTTTTGTTTTTTATATCACGAAATTTATCATTGTCGTCAGAATTCTCTGAAATATCACAATATTATATTTGAGCCATATCACCCACCCCTAAAGTTAAAAAATGTAAACTTACCAGCTGAAATTGCAGACAGCTCTGTACTCGGTGCGAAGCGGAGTCTGGTCGTGGAGATTGTGAATCAGACCATTCAGGCTCTAATACCCATGTAGGTTGACTTGAATGCTGAGATCTGGCTGTGATCCTCTTCTTCCAGTCAAACATGGAGCAACTTTACGCTCTTAAATTCCATGCATGGTCAGGCATTGCATGTTAAGGCTTGCCTTAGAAACCACGTGAACCCCGTCTGTGGGTGTAACCACGTCTGTGTTTTTCCTGCGTTGCAGCACTGGCAATGGCTGTAACTTTACATGTGGTTGAAACCAGTGTAACTTTACAGCCAATCACCAAAACTTTACTCCGAAAGAAGAGGCATATTTTGATCCATACACCGTCCGAAGCAGTTTGGGCGGTACCATAAAAGAACTGAAGTTCAGTACGCAGCCCTAATGTATATACAGTACATATAGCAGAGAAGTATGTTTGTTTTGTGCTCGGTTTACTGTCTGAGCCGAGCTTCTACTCTCCGCTCCCTGTTCGGAGGCGGAGCTGGGCAGGCGGTTTGGTAGGTGGGCCTCTCAGTTCTGGTGACGGCTGGGCGCCCTCATTGGAAAATGGTCAAGGAAACACTGACTTTGAATGAAATTGTGTGAAAATGTTAAACTGCTGAATTAGATGCAGATGGATAATGAAAATTGTTGCAAAATGTTAATTTCATATCTACGTTTTATTTTAAGTGAATCTGTGTAAATGTTTTAGAAAACATTTGAACTTATCAGTTGGTCAGCGCACAACACGTACGGTATTTATGGATCACTGCCATTGGTTGATGTGATCCTGTTTGCTGATAGGCTCTTGGCAGCACTGGCCTCTGAAGAATGTGTGTGTGTATGTTCATATTTAACACACCCATGTGTCCTCCTGACATGTTCCAGCCAGCATGGCGGCATCCAGCTGAGCACAGCCTTCATCGTGCACAAGACAAACCTTTGAAGACACATGGAGACCAGCAACCAGCAAGGACTACAAGTTTCTCTGAGGACAGCACACCTGGCTCAGGTGTGTTTTCACACAGCAACAGGCAGGTGCACACCCACAGAAGGCCGAGCCACACAATAATACCTGGTGTGTTTTCTTTGTGATGCTCAGGTTGTGGGGTCGCTATGGAGCGCAGCGAGGGCAGTGATGATGACCTGGGACGGCTGGACATTGATCTGGATAGAAAGTCCAAACAGCACAACCTGACATCCAGCAACGTGCGCGCCATCTTACATGTGAGCAGAGGACTCCTGTTCATGTATTCTGGTACAGCGTCACTTACACATGGTAACACGTTGTTGTGTTTCAGGAGGTCATAACGCACGAACATGTGGTAGCCATGATGAAAGCAGCCATCCAAGACACTAAGGACCTGCCCCTGTTTGTGAGTCTGAGTGTGTTAGTGAGTCTTAAGTTTGTGTCAGTGTGTCTGTGAGTCTGAGTCACTGTTTGTGGGTCTGTCATTGAGTGTGTCTGTGGTTCAGAATCAGTCATTCAGTGATTCTGTTTGGATGGATGATGGATGGATGGATGGATGGATGGATGGATGGATGGATGGCGAAGGAGGAGACCATCAAACAGCAGGAGGGGTCAGTTCAGGTGAACTCCTGCCTGTTTGCTTCAGATCAGCTGTTCAAATCTCTGCAGGTTCAAATAAAAGGTGCACCAGGACTTTCAGCTGAATCTCTCAGGCCACAGTTGTACGACCGATAACTGATAACTGATCAATGATAACCGATAACTGATAACTGTCCTTTCTGAATTTTTGACTGTTTTTGTGTCACTTCATCCTAGAACAAAACATTTATAACATAATAACAGCTGAGCAGATTCTGGTAATCTTTTCTTAGGATCCATTAAAGATCAAATGCAACTGGAAATTCTTCTCAACTTCCAGTACGAATTTAAACAAACACTTTATGAACTTAACATTGTAAAATTTGTTTAGGAAATTTAATGTTCAAGGACACTACTTAAGAAAAAAATTGTTTAATAGGAAAAGGAAGAAGTGAAAAATGTAGAAAAATAAAAATCACTGCGTCCAACTAGTAATAATAATAATAATGATGTCATCACAATGTCAGCACTGTATGTTTCCATACAATGGCGAAATTAGTCTCTGCATTTAACCCATCCACCACCAGGTGGTGCAGTGGGCAGCTATTGAAAGCGCCCGGGGGACATTTTGGGGATGAGACGTGCTGCCCAGAGACGCCACGTGATGTGCAGTGACTGGGGATCGAACCTGGGACTTTTGGGTCCCAAGCCGGCTGCCCTGCCTCTACACCATCTCGGCCTCCTATGATTGTGTATCTGTGTGTCCCTTGTCTCACGGGCTTCATCCAGAAGAAGACACAAGTGTTGTTCCTGCTGTGTCCGCTTCAGTTCTTCATGTTCATTCAGTGATGAAATAAGACTTTTCTTTTCTGGACTCTTTTCTCTTTCTCTTCACTAGAGAGAAGAAACAGGTGGTTAATTCAAGCTACATACTGTTTTTGAATAAATGCATGAAACAAAGAAAGGTGCAGCTAACAGCTCTAATAGATATATTAATAATAAGAAACTGATCAAATAAGAAAATGAAAAATAAATTGATTTAAAATTAATGAAAATGATAATAATGGATATATGAATCAGAAAGTATTCAGAAAGTAATCAGAAAGTATTATAGAGAGTCAGATATTTATTGTCATTCGCACCACATGTGGTACATGTGGTGGATCAAAATTATGTTCACAGGGTCCCAGTTACACCCAACAATAAAATATAAAATAAAAACAGTAATAAGATCTAAGATATGAACTAAGAAAAACATCAACTAAAAATATGATAAGCTCTAATAGCATAAAAACATTAAACACAACACGTTGAACAGCAGCACGGACATGAGTCTGTGTGAACAGATGAGCACGAATGAACACAGCAACATGAAACAGATCAGCAGCAGCATGAAACAGATCAGCAGCAACATGAAACGATCAGCAGCAACATGCAACTGATCAGCAGCAACATGATGTGATTATCCTGGTTAGATATTCATGAGGCTGCACAAACTCAAGTTCTTGTTCCTGTTTGACATATTGTTTTGATTGTTTACTGCTATTAGTGCTTAGTGTATTATTAGTAGATGTTTTTAGTTGATATTTTTCTTAATTCATATCTTAGATCTTGTTACTGTTTTTCTTTTACATTTTATTTTTGTCTGTAACTGGGACCCTGTGTACATAATTTCATCCAACCACATGTTCAACATGTCGTGCGTTTTCAGTATTTATTCAACATTTTATTTTTTTTCTTTAAAAATAAAATAAATCAAGTTCTTATTGGCACGAATAAAGTGATGTGGAACATGTTGCATCTGTTCTTACCGAGCACAGAAGCTGCAGCGTTGTGCTGCTCTGTGAGGTGCAGCTGGGCTGTGATGGAGCTCTGTCAGGTGCAGACTCCTCTGATGGAGCAGGAGAAGAAGCCAGGAGGCTTGGAGGGTTTAATGTGGAGTTTAGAGACGAACCGTCACGCGCTGAAATACGTTCTGGATAAAATACAGTGAGAAACGGGACCGGAGGACAGTTAGCATTTATGCAAATTAGCTTAGCATCGTAGCACCGACGTTGTACTATTATGGCGTCAGCCTCTTTTGTTAGTTAAAAATATGTTCAGAACCGATGGGATGAGTAACTTAAAATATGTTTAAAGTTAGAAAACACTCACCATCTTCTATAAATGGTTCAAGTAGAGCAGTGGCCGTGTCCAAACCACCCTCCAATCCTCCATCTAGCTCGCTTTGACTTTTTTCGTCAGCCACCAAGCACAACAACACCTGCACTTCTGCATTTGACCACGGCTTTGATATTATTGTTTTGTTATTATTATTATATTTGATGTTATTGTTTTTGTATAGCTTCAAAATACTAAATGATATGCTTCTCGAGTTATCACTAATGGCAGACGGTAGAGAAAAATGTCAGATCGGGTTGTTTGGAAAGACTCCACAGACTCCTCCCCCGACCAATCAGTGACCGACAGTGTTTCTGATGTCACGGCTTGGCTCGTTTGGACCCCTTGAAAAGCCGGGCCAGAATTCTGGGAGGTGAGCCGGTCCCAAGAACCATGGAAAAGTCCTCAAACACGGGTCAAGCCGGAAATATCCGACCCGCGCTGTGACAGTGGAAAAGGGGCATTTGTGTCAGTGTGTCTGTGAATCTCTGTCAGTCACTGTGAGTCTGTCATTGAGTGTGTGTTTGTGACTCTGAATCAGTGATTCTGTGAGTTTGTGAGTTTGAGCCTGTTAGTGAGTCAGTCACGCCATTGAGTATGCCAGTGAGTGTGTGGGTCTTTATTGTTTGTGTATTTGTTTCAGTGAGTTTGCAAGTCTTGTTTCTGACTCTATCTCCTTAGATAGAGAACTTTACTAATTGGCTTTTATGTATGTGAATGTTTCTGTAAAGTGCACTGAGACAACTTTGTTGTGATTTGGTGCTATATAATTAAACTGAATTGAAAAAAATTTAATTGAGTGTGTGTGGACTCAAGATTGTGTGTGTCCATGTCATGACTTGGGTTACAGATGTACCGTAATTGTCCGTGTATAAGCCGCTACTTTTTTCTCACACTTTGTACCCTGCGGTTCGCAGGAGCCTCATATTTATGTAATTTTTTAATATTTTTAAAAATTTACTTTTATAAATTTTATTTTGAGACTTCCTGTCGTTTCATGGCAGCTTCCTGACACTGTGCCAAAGCACAGACAAAGCTGGGCACTTACATTCACTGTACAGTGAATACCTGCAGCTTAACAGCCGGTGCGTCTTATTTATGTACAAAATCATGATTTATCTTATATTTATTATGTGCGGCTTGTACACAGGTGTGCTTTGTAGTCCGGAAATTACGGTACAGTCAGTGTGGGACTGCTCATGCACCACCAGCAGTATTTAAACCAGGTCATGACTAATCTGTTGTCCTGACTGGTGCTTAAAGTTTCGGTCTTTTACTCCAGGAGCCAAAGATGACCCGGTCCAGAGTGAAACAGGCTGTTCAGCTGGGACAGGTGAAGTGGACCTCGTCTTCTACAGTCATTGTGTTAATCAGAACCAGCATGTTGACCCTGTTTTTTGTTTTGTTGTAGCCCCTGAAGTGGAGTTTGTCACCAGTGGACACAATGAAGGTAACTCACCTGTCTGTCTGTTTTATAGCTGTCTGTTTCTCTCTGACTGTCTGTTCACTCCTGCAGCTGCCTCAGTTTGTTGACATCCATCTTGAAGAGGATGAAGACTCGTCTGATGAAGAGTATTGTCCTGATTATGATGATGAGGACACGGCTGAGGAGGTGAGTGAATGCTTACAGCAGCTGGGAGGTGTTCACTTTATACAGCACCATGACACAGCTGGAGTTGAGTCATGGTGCTGTTCAGGCTGCACATTCAGTCCAGTTGAATCCAGTCAGTTATGATCTCTCTAGTTAAGACTCTGGCAGCAGCATTTAAAATTAACTGAAGACTTTTTCAAGAAGTATTTGGACACCCAGACAATAAACCATTGCGATAGTGCAGTCTAGACGTGCTAAATTCATGAACCATTATTATTGATTATTGAGCATGAACTTCTGGAGAGGAGGGTCCGTTGGATAGTCGAACCTCGGATTCAGGAGGAGCCATGCGGTTTTCGTCCTGGCCGTGGAACACTGGACCAGCTCTACACTCTCAGCAGGGTCCTGGAGGGTGCGTGGGAGTTTACCCAACCAGTCTACATGTGCTTTGTGGACTTGGAGAAGGCGTTCGACCGCGTCCCTCGGGGGGCCCTGTGGGGGGTACTATGGGAGTATGGGGTACCGGGCCCTTTGATACGGGCTGTTAGGTCCCTGTATGACCCGTGTCAGAGCCTGGTCCGCATCGCTGGCAGTAAGTCGGGCTTGTTCCCGGTGAGAGTTGGACTCCGCCAAGGTTGCCCTTTGTCACCGATTCTGTTCATAACTTTTATGGACAGAATTTCTAGGCGCAGCCAAGGTGTTGAGGGGATCCGTTTTGGTGGCCTTAGGATTGCGTCTCTGCTTTTTGCAGATGATGTGGTCTTATTGGCTTCATCAGATCGTGATCTACAGCTTTCACTGGAGCGGTTCGCAGCCGAATGCGACGCGGCCGGGATGAAGATCAGTTCCTCCAAATCCGAGGCCATGGTCTTGAGCCGGAAAAGGGTAGAGTGCCCTCTCCGGGTAAGGGAAGAGGTCCTACCCCAAGTGGAGGAGTTCAAGTATCTTGGGGTCTTGTTCACGAATGAGGGAAAAATGGAGCGTGAGATCGATAGACGGATAGGTGCAGCGTCTGCAGTGAAGCGGGCGCTGTACAGGTCTGTCGTGGTGAAGAGAGAGCTGAGTCAAACGTTGAAGCTCTCAATTTACCTATCGATCTACGTTCCTACCCTCATCCATGGTCACGAGCTTTGGGTTGTGACCGAAAGAACAAGATCTCGGATAAATGCGGCCGAAATGAGTTTTCTCCGCAGGGTGTCTGGGCTCTCCCTTAGAGACGGGGTGAGAAGCTCGATCATCCGGGAGAGACTCAGAGTAGAGCCACTGCTTCTCCACGTCGAGAGGAGCCAGTTGAGGTGGCTTGGGCATCTGTTTAGGATGCCTCCTGGACGCCTCCCTGGTGAGGTGTTCCGGACACGTCACACCGGGAGGAGGCCCAGAGGAAGACCCAGGACATGCTGGAGGGACTATGTTTCTCGGCTGGTCTGGGAATGTATCGGGATTCCCCCGGAAGAGCTGGACCAAGTGGCTGGGGAGAGGGAAGACTGGACCTCCCTACTTAGGCTGCTAACCCCGCGACCCGACCCCGGATAAGCGGAAGAAAATGGATGGATGGATGAATTAATTTCCCCTCTAGGGATTAATAGAGTACAATAACTAAATAAAATTACAATAATAAATAAATATTTTTATCCATGATGTTGTAATTTTGTGAAGCACTTTGTGCAGTTGAGGTTGTTGTAAATGTGCTATATAAATAAACTTTGACTTGACTTATTCACTTTAAATCACACACAGATTCCAGCCAAAGCCTTAAAGTCCTCCATGACTGAGCTTGGGTTCATTGCAGAGAAAATCATAAAACTGAAGATGAACAAATATTATAAAGATGTGTCCTCCATACACCTGAAATCATACCTGATGTTCTCGTCACGGTTTTCAATCTCTCTGAGTATCCGGCGTCTCTTCTCCAGTGGTTTATTGTAGTCCAGACACAAAGTAGGACGCAGGTTTTCCTCCGTCGGCCGTTTGTCAACAAAGTGAAATGAGCTCACATACAGAGTTTTGGGTGGTCTCTTCAAGTTCAAACGTTTCAGCCACGTTCTTCTTAATTCCTCATCTGTAGGCAGGAGATGAAACTATACCTCTTTTCACAGGAACTCTTTTTGTTTTATGTCCATGTTCAAACTCTGTTGTTGTAGCCACTGATTTAGTTTGGTCTGGTTGTTCTGCAGCCCTGAACACAACAAGTACCTGAACTCGACACAGCTATTTTAGAAAACTTTATGGTTGTTAAATCATGATTGTTGTCAATGATTGTTTAATGAGGAAGTCCTCCAGATGGGGGATAAAATGTATCTCACTTAAAGAAACTGGTCCAGATGACATGATTTAACCTTTTTTTTTAACCTGGATGATTGAGCTTACAAACCTTTTTGTAATTTAAAAAAAAAGAAATTATATTAATAAAATGAATCTAAAGAAACAGCTACATTATAAAGCAATGTAAAATACTAACTAGCTTCAAGCACTGGATCATAGTTGTCTAAAAAAATCCTGGTTCTGAACAGCTGATGTTTTGTGTTCAGATGTTCCTCAGTGACAATGACAGTGACTCACCTCCCAGGGATCACATGGGATCGCCACCTGAACCTCCAGACAAGTTGACCCAAGGATCTTTAAAGGTAACCTGACCTCTGAACCCTGCAGGAGACTTGACCTCTGACCCCTCATTTCTGACTTGTCTTTTAGAGTGTTTTAGATCACCAAAAGGAACAGATGGTCTCCACATGCTCATCTCCATCTCAGTGTTCCTTCTTAGAAAGACTGAATGCCGTGGAGGAGGAGCTTAATAATAGCTCCACCTACTTATATGACCAGGTAACGGTAACGTGTAAATGTCTCACCTGTTTCTCTTTGTCTGTCTGACCTGTCTATTTCTGAACATTCTCCCTCTCTGCTTCATCTGTTACTTTCACCTGTTTGTCTCCCAGACTCTGGACAAAAAAGCTGATGATGATGATGGTGGTGGCAGGGATGCAGGATCCAGCTGTTTGGCATTTCGGACACGCTCCAAACATCCTTTAATTAACGTTCCTTTAGGTCAGCTAGAGGCAGAGCTTCTGGCCCCTGACATCACATCTGACATGTACGAACAAATCTCCACTCAGCAGGAAGAGGACCGTCAATGGACAACGTGGCTCCAGGGCCTCATGGTGCCAGCCCCTGAAGGTCAGAGGCTGACAGCATTCCTGTCAAATTAAGCTTTGAGAATATGTTGCAGTTGAGAACAAATTCATTCAACCTTTATTTAGACAAGTAAATCCCATTGAGCCTCGAGGACTCATTTACAAGAGAGACCTGATTTCAACAAAGAAAGATGACAACAATGGACAACAGCAACAACAATAGACAGACACAAAAAGGCATACAGATTTTATTTAATTTTTTTCCAAATAAGATGGCAAAAAAAGTAACAAAAAACAGCTAGATTATAAGGCTAATGTAGAAAACTAAAAACAGGAACATGTCTACATTGATCCCTGCCAGGAGTCCAACAGATTCTTAAAGCCACTTAGAGAGGTCAAAGGTCGAGAGCTTCAGATCTTTTTACAAGATGTTCCAGGAAACAGGAGCGGAGTAGGAGAAGGTCCTTTTGTCTAGTTCAGTCCTCACTGAGGGAACACTGCAGGTAATGATGTCCTGAGAGTGCACGCTGTAGCTGCACTCACGCAGAGACATGTAGGAGGAGATGTATGAAAGGCTGCTTCTTGTTCAGTTTGACCTATAGCTCGCAGCTTCAGCTGACTGGTTATAGGGCTGCAACAACAAATCGATAAAATCAATAAAAATCAATAAAAATCGATAAAATCGATAAAAATTGATGATTAAAAGTGTTTGCAACGAATTTCATTATTGATTCGTTGTCGCGCGATTAATCGTCTCTCACGGCGCTGCAGAGCCATTTTATTCATGGGCAGTTCATTGTCAATAATGACTGACTGAATAAAGTTTGAAAAAAAAAAGAAAAACTGCAGTGGGAGTTGAACAGAGCGAGGGGGGAGGTGGAAGCAGAGCAGAGGCTGTTTTCAAAGGAAAATAAGTAAATTTTACAAATGACCAACGAGGAGAAAACTGTTCGACCCAAGTCCTCCAAAGTGTGGGAGCTCTTGATGCTTCACAAAAATAAAAACTGAGCAACATGCAGCTTTGAAAAGTGACGACATGACACGGGAGAACCACTGAGATTAAAGTAAACATGTGGGAGTCACGAGGAGGAGGATGGAGCTGCAGCAGATACAACTCATGTGTTGCAGGTGAGTCTCCAATATTCACATTGTTCTGTTCCCAAGAGGAACAGAAGCAGGTAATAATGTCCTGAGAGCGCACGCTGTAGCTGCACTCACACAGAGACATGTAGGAGGAGATGTATGAAGGCAGCAGACCAAGAAGTGATTTAAAGATGAAGATGTACCAGTGAGAAAGTCTGTGTTAAGTTATGAAGAATATTAAAATGTAGTCTCATAGAGGCTGTACCTTTCCCACTAGAGCGACTGAAATTGGTCATGTGACTTTCACACGAGTGTGTCGATTGGTTCCAAAGAGAAAATAAATTGTCCGTCAGAGTAGGCGGTGAAATCGCCTGTTATTGAGAAGGTAGCATTAAAGTACAGACATGGCTCATGGACCAGAAATTTCTGATACGTGAATTATGTTGGTATCGAAACCTGATACTGGATTGGGCCCATCCTTAGTTGAGGCATCAATTATGTGCCTTGAAAGTACAAAGTCATTGAGTCAGGAAGTGCAGAATGTGGTGGGGGGAGGAGAGATGAGTATTTTTATATTTTTCAACTGGAGATCAAAACCAGATGTGATCATGTTTAGATCACGTCATATCTCTTTTGAGCTGTAGATGTCACATGATGCTGACTGGAAGTGTCTTAACCATCAGTTATATTCAGTTTATTTATATAGCACCAAGTCCCAACAGAAGTCATCTCATTCACATACTTGAAAAACGAAAAGTTTTGTATCTAAGGAAGCCAGCAGAAGGATGCTTCTGCACAAACACCAAGTGTCTTACCCATCAGGAAGCATCTGTGCTGACGGGCAGTGTTTTGGCTCTGTTCTTTCTCAGATGAAGGTGATGATGATGATGACCCTGAGTACAATTTCCTGGATGATCTGGATGAACCAGACCTGGAAGACTATAGGACGGACCGGGCCGTCCAGATCACCAGTAGGTGTCAATGGCTGTTTGTGGGTGGAGGAGCCTTCAGCTGCTTTTTGTTTGTTGTGCACTCAGTCTGAACTCGAGGTGTTTTTGGTTTTTAGAAAAAGAAGTCAATGAGCTTCTTGAGGAACTTTTTGAAACTGTGAGTTAATTTCTTTGATTGTATTAAAACTTAATCAGTGTGAGATTACAACCTTACTATTTTTACACTAAACATCAATAATCTGATGGTTTTCAGGAAGCTGTCATCAACAGTTTTGACCTAAACAAAGTCTGATGCTACTTTTAACGTGCACATTTCTGAACTGTTTGACTTGTGCTCATTGTGCAGCTCCAGGAGGATGATGCGCCAGTTGAGGATGAGGATGTGGTTGCTTCATCAGCGACTGCTCCCAAGTTTAATGTTCCCCAGGCTTTACGGTAACAACACTAATTTAATATCTTCATAATTTGTAGAGTTGCACCAGTAATTGGCTCGTAACCAGCAAAAAACATTCAACTTGACTATCATCAGTAATAGGCCAATCAATCCAAACCACTGGACATGTCCACACCACTGTCCCTCCTCTGGACATGTCCACACCACTGTCCCTTCTCTGGACATTTCCACACCACTGTCCCTCCTCTGGACATGTCCAAACCATCTCTGTGTGTCCTCTTTAATTTAATCTCCCAGTTGTTCAACCTGTGCTGTACCTCTGATGATCTCATTCCTGATCTTCTCCATCTTCGTCTCTCCTAAGGAGAACCTCAACATCTTCATTTCTGACACTTCCAGTTCTGTGTCCTGTCTTTTTGTCCACGTCTCTGTCTCCTGACCATACAACATAGCTGGTCTCACAAATGTCTTATAAACTTTTCCTTTGACCTTTGCTGACACACTTTCGTTGCAAATCACTCCTGAAACTTTTCTCCATCCACTCCATCCTGCCTGGACTCTCTTCTTCACCTCTTTACCACACTCCCCATTTTCCTGGACAGTGGACCCCAAGTCTTTGAAGTCCTTCACCTTTCTGACCTCTGCTCCTTGTAGCCTCACTGTTCTCTCATTCTTTTTTTACACAAATTTTGTAATCCTTGCAGTTTCTCTTGAATTGTGCAATATTTTTACTTTGCTTAATTTCTTAGTCAAAGCCATTCCACAAAATCATGCCACAGACTGATGTGCACGTGCTTTTAAGAGTGCTGTGATCACAGGGTTGAAAACTAAAAAAGTCCATGTTCACTAATCCAGGTATACAATCTAACAATTTTCAGTCAGGTCATCTGGACAGTTTCTTTTTGTGCTGAAACGTTTCACCTTCCATCCAGAAGGCTTCATCAGTCAAGGAAACACACAACACAAAACTGATTCTTACCCCAAACAGTTTATTCCAAAGTGGAACAAACCAGTTATGTTGGTGCTAAGATGGTGCCAAATGCCTCCTAGACACGTCCCACTGGGAGGAAACCCAGAGGAAGACCCAGGACACGCTGGAGGGACTATGTTTCTCGGCTGGCCTGGAAACGCCTCGGGATTCCCCAGGAGGAGCTGGCCCAAGTGGCTGGGGAGAGGGAAGTCTGGGCCTCCCTACTTAGGCTGCCTGCGACCCGACCCCGTATAAGCGGAAGAAAATGGATGGATGGATGGATAGATAATCTCAATAATTTTCGCCCCATTTCAAATCTTTCATTCATCTCCAAAATTCTTGAAAAAAACAGTAGCTGCTCAACTTCATGCTCATTTGTCTTACAATAATTTATATGAACAAATTCAATCTGGTTTATGTCTGCTCCACAGTACTGAAAAAGCTCTGCTTAAAATCGCCAATGACTTTCTCCTTACTGCGGATTCTGGTTTATTATCCATACTCCTGCTTGATCTGACTGTGGCCTTTGACACAATTTCACACAGCATGCTTCTTAACAGACTTTCCTCTCTTGGCATTGTAAATACACCTCTCAACTGGTTCCATTCATACCTTTCAGGCCACACTCAGTTTGTTCAATTAAAATCATCCATGTCTCATCATGTTCCTGTTACCTCAGGTGTTCCCCAGGACTCTGTCCTGGGACCCTTGTTGTTTATCATTTACAGGTCCTTCTAAAAAAATTAGCATATTGTGATGAAGGTCATTATTTTCCATAATGTAATGATAAAAATTAAACTTTCATATATTTCAGATTCATTGCACACCAACTGAAATATTTCAGGTCTTTAATTGTTTTAATACTGATGATTATGGCATACAGCTCATGAAAACCCAAAATGCCTGTCCCAAAAAATTAGCATATCATGAAAAGGTTCTCTAAACAAGCTATTAACCTAACCATCTGAATCAACGATGTAACTCTAAACACCTGCAAAAGATTCCTGAGGCTTTTAAAAACTCCCAGCCTTGTTCATTACTCAAAACCACAATCATGGGTAAGACTGCCGACCTGACTGCTGTCCAGAAGGCCATCATTGACACCCTCAAGCAAGAGGGTAAGACACAGAAAGACATTGCTGAACGAATAGGCTGTTCCCAGAGTGCTGTATCAAGGCACCTCAGTGGGAAGTCTGTGGGAAGGGAAAAGTGTGGCAGAAAATGCTGCACAACGAGAAGAGGTGACCGGACCCTGAGGAGGATTGTGGAGAAGGGCCGATTCCAGACCTTGGGGGACCTGCGGAAGCAGTGGACTGAGTCTGGAGTAGAAACATCCAGAGCCACCGTGCACAGGCGTGTGCAGGATATGGGCTACAGGTGCCGCATTCCCCAGGTCAAGCCACTTTTGAACCAGAAACAGCGGCAGAAGCGCCTGACCTGGGCTACAGAGAAGCAGCACTGGACTGTTGCTCAGTGGTCCCAAGTACTTTTTTCAGATGAAAGCAAATTTTGCATGTCATTCGGAAATCAAGGTGCCAGAGTCTGGAGGAAGACTGGGGAGAAGGAAATGCCAAAATGCCAGAAGTCCAGTGTGAAGCACCCACAGTCAGTGATGGTCTGGGGTGCCATGTCAGCTGCTGGTGTTGGTCCACTGTGTTTTATCAAGCGCAGGGTCAATGCAGCTAGCTATCAGGAGATTTTGGAGCACTTCATGCTTCCATCTGCTGAAAAGCTTTATGGAGATGAAGATTTCATTTTTCAGCACGACCTGGCACCTGCTCACAGTGCCAAAACCACTGGTAAATGGTTTACTGACCATGGTATTACTGTGCTCAATTGGCCTGCCAACTCTCCTGACCTGAACCCCATAGATAACCTGTGGGATATTGTGAAGAGAAAGTTGAGAGACCAAGACCCAACACTCTGGATGAGCTTAAGGCCGCTATCGAAGCATCCTGGGCCTTCATAACACCTCAGCAGTGCCACAGGCTGATTGCCTCCATGCCACGCCGCATTGAAGCAGTCATTCATGCAAAAGGATTCCCGACCAAGTATTGAGTGCATAACTGAACATGTCTAAAAAAGTTCAATCTGGTCCTCTGGACATTCAAAAAAAACAAAACAAAGCAAAACAACAAAAAATGTAGAAACGTTTCGTCTCTCATCCAAGAGACTTCCTCAGTCTGAGGTGCTGTATTCAGCTCAGTCTCTTAAATAGCACCTTCTCAGAGTGGATCAACCAGTTTGCTGCTGACAACCAGAACCAGCTGATCACATGCTCAAGAAGGACCATCAGCCTAACAATGTATCATTAGCACCTGATGGCTGTTTACTGTTCACAGAGGGCTGAGTGATACTAGCAATCACAGCAGTGTAAGAGGGGGACAGTTGAACCCGGAGGCCTCCACCCCTGTTTAATGATGGACGGTTTCTTTTCACAAAGATGGCCTCCTTTACTCCTCTCTCAAACCATCGTTCCTCTCTGTCCAGGATGTGAACATCTTCATCCCTGAAAGAGTGACCGCTGGCCTGGAGATGAGTGTAGACCTCAGAGTCCTGGCCTGATGATGTTGATCTTCTGTGCTGGGCCATCCTTTTGGCCAGTGGCTGTTTTGTTTCCCCGATGTAAGACTGATCACAGCCCTCCTGACACTGAACAGCATACACAACATTACTTTAAACAACATTATTAAAAAAAAGATTTAGGGGGTGTGGCAAGATGGCGCCTGTGTGTGGCTTCGCCGGCTTTACCTCTCTGCGCATTTTTTATTATGCGTTTTTATTATTTTTAAATTATTTAGCTTTTTTCTGTCAGGATAATAGCTTTGTCACTCTTGCAGCCCGTGTTTATGATCGGGATGCATTATTGGCGATCAACAAGTCATGGATGAGCTGTTGTGATGGCTGGAGCAGTTTCAGAGGGAGTTGTCCACCTCCGTTTGTTTGCTGCTCACCTGAGTGTCTCCTGCAAAGTTCCAGAGGTAAAAAGCGGAAAAGAGGATCTAGAGCGGGTGTCCTGGTTCGTCTGAGGCTGTATCGTAGATGTTTTATTGGGAAGCGGGGAGCCCCTCGCTGTCTACGAACTCTTTCATCTAATTGGGAGTTTGACACATCACCTGAAACCTGGCCAGCATGGACCTCTACCTGCCTGTCTTCTGTATATTATGCAACCTGCTTGGATGAAGTTCATCATGCTCACCATCAGGTACCTCCTCATCGTAATCATTCTTCTGATGCGATCAACCTAATCTGTGTGCCACTATGTGGGAGCTGCTGAAATGTCATCGTTGCGCATGGCCCTCTTCAACGCGCGCTCTATCAGCAACAAGTCTTTTGTCTTGAATGAATTGATTACGAAGGAGTCCCTTGGTTTCTTGTTTTTAACTGAAACTTGGCAACGAAGCTTGGATCTCATTCATCTGCGGGAACTCTGTCCAGATAACTGTGCTGTTCTTGCAACACCCCGTGAAGCGTGTAGAGGTGGTGGACTAGCAGCCGTGTTCAAGGACTGTTTTTCCTGC